ATTTTGACATAAAATTATCGGAAAATTGGAAGTATAATAAGGTTATTGGTGAAAACTTGTGTGTATTTTAACTACTTTAAAAAAATGCCGTATAATCGTGTTATACGTAATTTTTTAATGCGCTTAGAGCATGCACAATTGAATTTACCAATATTTATTAATAGAAGTGGTGTACCTTATTCAACAAAAACAAACATCATTCGAGATACTTTTATAAAAGTCGCTCAGAAACGCTGCGAATTTCATGCTATTGGTATTTGTTTTAAATCTTTCAAACCAGAGGCATAAAATAACAAAAAATTAAGTTAAAAAATCCGGCCAAGTGCGAGTCGGACTCGCGCACCGAGGTTTCCAAACAAATCTGTAGGTATATAATTTTAAAATTATTAAAAATATTTTTATTATATGATGTAACTAAAAATTTTTGCTTTTCGCAATTTTTCCTTTATCTGTAAACGTTGCTTCGTACCAAATTTCAAGATTCTGAGTTCACGGGAAGTACCCTGAAGGTTTTGATTCCCTTGCGAATGTCGAAAAGAGCACTGGCAGACTTTCATACATAGAATTAGTTGAGAAAAAATGGTGGCGTCTATATACCAAAAATATCTTAAAATGTTAAGCGTCAGTCCCTTAATAAATCTGTCAAAGAATTTCGTACTGAGAAGGCGTCAAAAAAAAGATATTTACATTTGAACCTTTTTAGGTTATGTCCTATGTCACTTGGAAAAAGTCATGCTTCCTGCAGTTGTTTGATGTTAGCTTAATACATAATACATAATTGAGAGTTTTTAGATTATTGTATCTCTATTATATATTTGCATACTATAAATGTATATTTCTGGCATGGCTCAAGGGCTTTTGTGTCATAGTGACATTCTCAGAAGGGCTAGAACCCAGAGCCGTAAAGCCAGTAAAAAAAACAGTGACATTTTATTTTAGCTAGTGTTTGCATAACATTAAATGGAATTGTTACATAGTACTATGATTGAGATAATGCATTATCTTAGAAAATTCTTTGTAAGAGACTTATTCTCAGCCATATCACTTTTATTTTTATTATTACTGATAGTACAGTTATTACTAATAATAACTTAATATAAAAATATTTTGTGTGTTGTGTTGCTAGTCTTACAAAGTATATACGAAAATAGTATGAATATACTAAATGGCAACATTTGAATAGAGTAAAATGATTTAAGTCATTTGATATTCCCAAAAATGATACTTTTTTCTGTGGCTTCAATTAAAATACATTTTAATTTGAAAAATTATAGAAATATAGTAAAACTCATTTTATATATAACTTATTTCTAGACGCTATAATTTTTGTCAACTATTTTTCTACCATTGCTCTTTGCGGCATAAACGGCTGTATCTTTTGATTGAGTTGGTTTAGAAGTTTGATTTTTTCACAGCTCCAAGGGACAGTAGACTTGAGTATTTGATATGAATTTCAGCTTGATACCTCCACGCGTTCCTGAGAAAAAGGGTCTTGACTGACAGACAGACAGACAGACAGACGGACAACAAAGTGATCCTATAAGGGTTCCGTTTTTTCTTTTTCAGGTACGGAACCCTAAAAAGCTATAAAAATTTAAGTAAATATAATAACAAGAATTGTTAAATTTATTTACGAAGAAAACTTTAATCATACGCATACAGCTACACAATTTTGTATATTTTTATTGATGTTTCAATACATGACGGTTAATTAAGACATATTATAAAGGCGTGCGCTTTGTGCATTATTCATTATAACATAACAGTTACTTTTTCACGGACAGATGTAGGTTATTAAAGCAAGAGATTTATTTCACGTGTTACAAACTAAAATCAAATCAATACAACTCTATAAATGACATTTATTATAATAAAATAATTTTAAGCTGGTTGTTTGAATTGGGCAAATAATTTTAAATTTGTTTTTTATAGAATAAGTGTGACAAACGAGCTCACAGTCCACCTGATGGTAAGTGGTTGATCTGGCCATAGACATCTACATCTATCTTCGATTACGAATCAAAACGCAGATGCGATATTACCCGTGAGGACTAAGATGGAATGCCTCATTTCCAGTAAAAAAGGGTCTCCGGTTCTCTACACTCACCATACGAAACACAGCAGCGTTCGCCGCTATTTTACGCTGGTGTTGTGTGAGAGCATGCTCCTTCCTCGGTCAAGCCGACCCATTCGTGCTACAACTATACTACTAATATAGCTGCAGCATGGCTCTACCTCGTTTGAAATAATAGCAAGACACTTTAGGCTGTGTTAAAATATCGTGAATGGCCTCGTTATGATACCGTAAGGCATACATATATATTATGCGTCATATCCGTGCGGATAAAGAATGGGATTAGAAATGGCGGCTCTTTAAGCCCGTATTACCAGCAAACACGGTACGAAAACAACGATAATAACGTTAAATATACCGTTGATATACCAAAAGTAACGATATATTATGTTAATAAAAACATTATGTTAGTTTGTTTGGAGATTTATTTTTAGAAGTGCGTGTAAAATTTTTAAGGAGTAAATAGTGATTATTAAAATAAATACTCTCCACGCAACGATTGTCTTGAAGAGACACTTTCAAAGTGATAAGACCGCCTGTTATACATATACTTGAAATTGTATCTGTTCATAATCTGAATTTCAGTGTACAATAAAGAATAAATAAATTAATTAAATATATAAATAATATATAACCATTCATACATGTATGTTATAACTTATAAGGCAGTCGCAAGAAAATTATGTGTTCTTGGCCTACATAAATCGCAAGTCCGGTCGTGCATGGAATACTGCTTCTACATAAGTGATGCTGCAAAATATTACCTGGCAGCTTTTTTCTCAGTAGAGAGCCGTATTATGAGGCTCAGTGTGGTATGGATTGCCTCATAGGGGGAATATTTGCCATAGTGGCCACGTTTGGCAAGCGAATTGACAACTTGCAAATAACAATGCAGTTTTGTTATTATTTGCAATTGTTATCAGGAAGATTCTGCTGACCATCTCGTGTTTCAATGCTCTTTGTCGCCTCATACGACACGACTTATTATTTATTTATTATTTCTGATTTATTAATTTAACGGCAGGGTCGGGAAGGGACGCCCTAGACGAAGGTTTATCGACCAGATCGGCGATACATTGAAAATGGGCCAGATTAGGAGTACCCTTAACCGACGAGCGTGTATGCGTAGATATATGGATGTGAAAGAGGCGAGAGAGGTGTGTCAGGATCGCGCCAAATGGAAGTCCGTAGTCTCTGCCTACCCCTCTGGGTGACAGGCGTGAGTGTTTATGTTATGTTATGTTATGTTATGTTTTATTAATATTTTTGTAATAAAATATTTATCAAAAAATTTATCATTATTGTTAGTATGAAAATAAGACAATTTTAAAATTTTATATACGTGTACATAAAATTTACTTATGAAAGCTTATAGTGACTCGCTGCCTTTATAAATGCGGCAACTATAAATGGACTATAGATTTTACTTACGTCTGAAAAAAAGATCTCAGTTACCCTTTAAGTGTTTCCTAATAAAGTTTTACTTTAACACTTAATAATACGATTTCATATTTAAAATTAAAAAAAAATATTGAAAAGAAAATATTAATATTTTTAAGACCCTTTTTGTAGTGTAAAATAAATTTTGCAAAATATGACAAAGATAGGTACTCTTTGGGGATTTTTTTGTCTAATAAGGGGTTGACAAAAATACAATTTTGTTCAATTAAAAACATTTACCAAATCTTCTTCTGTTACCCTGTATTTTTTCTTTGTGGATTAAATGAACAGCTATTGAGTTTTTTTACTTAAATATCCTAGATTTAGGCATTTCAACCACTGTTAAGGCCTTAAGATATAGAGCTCGCAGCTTCTTCTTAAATTTATATATTTTGTCCCATTAAAGATATTAAGTAACACTAATAAAAAATCATCAATTATATTTCAAAATTAAATTAATTAAAATATATTAAAGAACTATGAAAGTCAACTAGGGTTAATTTTTTATGAAATGTTATGTTCTACAGAGAAAATAAAGTGTTTTTTACATATTATACGCATTTCAGAACACCTTTAGACGAGTAGAAAAATAAAAGGCTAGAAAAGGAAGTCTATAGAAAAATATTCACTAATATAATATATTCAAATGTTTGCAGAATATTGCAAAAGGTTCAAAATTAGTTTACACATACTTTGAATGCAAATAGTACTAAAAACCAGTTTGTAACTCATCAACAATCACTCTTGCAGCATGGCTCTTGAGTGCGTTATATTACGGTTATACTTTTTAAATCTACATTTTATACTTTCTGATGCAATTTATTTTTAGTATAATGGATACAATATATACTATATAATATTTTTTGTATGAGAGGGGCAAACGAGCATACGGATCACCTGATGGTAAGTGACTACCGCCGCCCATGAGCAACTTCAACACCAGGGAAATTGCAGATGAGTTGCCGGATTTTTAAAAAGATTAGGCTCTTTTCTTGAAGGTCCCAAGTCATATCGGTCTGGAAAAATTGCTGGTAATAATACCACCAATAGTTATTACAACAATACTTGTAATTCATTATTTATACTTAATTGGATTAAGAACTGTCTGAGTCAATGGCGTTTTTGCACAAGAATAATTAAGATAAAATTTTTCATGAGCAAGAAAATAAATATTTAAGAAATAAGATATCGGTATGCATATTCTATTAAAAATAAAAAAAAATTCGTCTTAAATAACGCTGTGTAATATAATTGCAATGATATAAATACGCAATCGCTTACACAACGGCCACTCTTTTTCTTTTTTTTAATCTCTAATGCGATGTAGGCCTTGGCTTCATTATATTATGTACAAACTACAATGTACACGACAGTATGCTACACAGAGTAATACCGATACCAGAGGTTGTTATATCACACTATGCTACACCACTTGGTCTACATGCAGCTTCTAAGCCAAAAGCAATACTGAAGAGGCACTACTAACCTTGATATTAAATTGCGCGACCACCGGCTTATGGTCGCTGACAGTGTAATGTGGCACATGATTGTAAGATACGACATCGGCTCTCAGAGTTATGTTTTCGTAATTGTTTGCTATGACTTTGTACAATATTCTGTCTGTCCATGATGGCTTCCTCCTATAAATAAAATTTTTTATGAGCGCTTCCGATTTATTATTGATAAAATATAAATATCATAACACCAAAATGTTTGCAATGGTGAAAGAATCCATCACATAATTTAGTAGCTTATGACCTTCTGATAAGTAGCGCTATATTATCTCATAATATATTAAGCTACATACAAAATCTAGCATTGCCATCGCCAAACCCAAACCTGAATTAAAAGTTCTTTCTACAATGAGATACGACTATTAAACGACTGGCTAATGAACACAAAAAAAATCTGCATTATCCTCTGGTACCGTTAAAGGAAGTTTTACTTCCAAATCAAAAATTTAAAATCAGAAATTGTTTTATTTGATAACATTTTACTAAATTATTTCTAAACTTTTTTTGTATAGGATAAGGGTGACAAACGAGCACACAGTCCACCTGATGGTAAGTGGTTGCTGCGGCCCATAGACATCTACATCTATCCTCTATTACAAATCAAAATGTAGATGCGTTGTCACCCGTGAGGACTAAGATGGAATGCCTCATTTCCAGAAAAAAGGGCCTCCGGCCACCTGCACTCACCAAACGAAACGCAGAGGTAAACCTCTACTTCACGCTGGTATTCTGTGAGGTCGTGGTACCACCCCGGTTCGAGCCGGCCCATCCGTGCGACAGCAAAAGCTGCAGCGAGGCTCTACCACTGTTAAAATAAATAAACTACTTAAATATCGCTTTCACCATTGATTCCTTTTAAGCCTTTCTCTACTACTTGTGTAATATTTCATAAGACATATTATGTATTTTTTTATCACCACGATGCACGAATCTTAGCCATTTCCATCTATCGATTCCTTAAAGAGAAGGAGGAATGCTAAATCTCCCCCTACGAGGGTGACGCTAAAGAACTTTCTGCCCGACCGCTTGTCGGTTCTCAAGCTGTACAGGTTCATAACAGGTTGTCTACTGATCAGTTGTTTACTCTGGATGTACTGAGGACATTCTCGCAACGGTTTAGAAACCTGTGGTACACCACAGAGTAACTGTAAACATAGTTCACTCCTAACTCGCTGTTCTATTTTAAGCTTTCTCATAAAGACATAAGAAAAATTGTGCGACATACAATAGAATCTTGGTAAAAATTATGGAACAAAACGTATGTAGTTTTAATTTATGCAAAATAAAATCAACATGCAAATAAAAAATAATTACCCAGCGTCTTTTTGTACAATAAACACAATTCTTAAAAAATTGAGCGATCTAAAATTTTTCATATTTTGTTGACGCACATACAACAATGGTGAAGGTCTATAATCTGTAATATCACACGTTAACAAACACGGAGGTCGTCATCTTGATCCTTTTTTTTTCTTAAAAAAATCATGGTGGCCAATAGCAATTCATTAACGACTGTAATATTTCTTTGTTCACAATGTTTTATTATTTAACGTCTACGCAATAAGATACGTTTGGGTAAAAATAAACTAGTGAATGCATCTGAGTTTGCGCGTTACATTATTATAATAGCTAGCGACGCGTCCCAGCTTCGCCTGGAAAAGATTTATTTATGTGGCGTGCGTTATTTAAGTTTAAGATTATTATCAAAGGCCATTTACTTTATAAATTATTAGATTTTTCTATTTCTCAAAAAAATTTGAATTTTTCGGATAAAATATAGCCTAGATTACACTCCCGGCATTGCTCTCTATCTGTTAGTGAAGTTTTGTTACAATCAGTTTAGCCATTCCAAAGGTTAGCCCGGACAGGCAGACAGGCATCATGTCTTAATGGCATTCAAAAAATCCTTAGTTATTGCGATATTACAGACAGACACTTCAATTTTATTTATATTTGTATAAATATCATGCGCAACTAGTTTCAGATTATTCGAAGGAGGTCACCGTGGTCGATAACCGACCATTATTAAATATCAGATTCGTCATATGGACTATCTAAAGACCACCGCGGTGGTAAGATTTCAGCCGATATACAGTTTATAAAAAAATCAATTGAAAGTTTTGTCTTCATTAGATTAACTATAATGCTTTTATTACATTCAGAAGAAAATTATTTTTGTTGTAAACCGCTGCTAAAAATTCGCGCTGGAGCAACATGGCAGACTCTTCTCCGTTTAGTAGCCACAACACCTTCCCGGAACTATGAAGCCGATGCGGGGTAGAGCCATGCTGCAGCTATATTATGGTTATAGCACGAATATGTCGGCGCGATCGAGGGAAGAATACGCTCTCATAGAATTTCAGCGTAAAATAGCAGCTCAATGCTACTGTATTTCATATGGTGAGTGTAGAGAACCCTAGACCCTTTTCAATGGATACGAGGCCCTCCATCTTAGTTTTCAGGGGTGACATTGCATCTAAATATAAATGTAGATTTCTGTGGGCCACAGTATCCACTTCACAATATTCATCAGATGTAGTGTGCTCCTTTGACACCCTTATTCTATTTAAAAATACGATATTTAAACGTTGAATCACTCCACCATTTATATGAAACTTCGGAGGTTATAAAAACGTAATCAAAAAAATATAACTTTGCACATTCAACTAGAGAGCCTGGACCATTAAACGAACTACTTATTTTTGTAAAGATAAACTACTATTTTTCATTGAATAGTAGTTTGAAAAAATATTTAAAACCGTCCAGTGACTTAAATCTAACATGAATGAGCTATTTAAACCAAAATCTAAACGTTGATTATGTATCAAATATGCACAGTAGACATTGTCTTTGGCCATCAATAAAATCGATTATCACTATCCATACTATCAATAATATTATCAATAGTAAGCGCCCCTCAATTACGTTATTATGTATAGTAATAAAATTCAAGCAATCTACAATACTCACTTAATATCGTAATCATCCGTGCCCATTAGGAACTTGTATGTAGGTGGGAATCTGATTTCAGGCTCCGTAAATTCAGAAAACGCCTCACCGGTCTCCATAACAGCGATTAGCTGATCATGCCTTAATAGACCCGTATATTTGTCCTTTTCCACTTTCTGTAGAGCGGCGACGATCTCTTCCGACGACGGACAGTCGCCAGCCGGATGATCCGTACGAAAGTTTAAGTCTCCAATCCAAAACACGTAGCTGCAAAACCAACCACATATTTAAAATAAACTTCACCAACATGGTAGAGCTCCTTTTACTGGCTATGCGTGCATTTTTGTTGGTAGCTCTCTCTTACCTATTTTTCCCACCGAACAACAGTGCATTCACTGTTGTGTTTCGGTCTCTAGGGTATAGAGAGTGAGTGTAATTAGAGGCTGTGGGACATTCTCTCAAAGTCCTCCGAAGTGACAGAACAGATGTAATCTTCCTTGTTAGAAGTTGTTTACTCTGAGTGTCTCTAAATATTATAATTTATTGTCACAGGGACTGGGAACGTGTTCAACTTTGAAATTTTAAAATTTTTAATATAACCACTACGGCATGTAATTACGACAATATATTTCCATTAAAAAATGATGTACCAAAATCCTATAATATAACAGAGATATACTTTGTTAGCCCAGCGTTGTAAATATAGGCAAATCTTTCAAAGTTACTACAAAGTTGGGGCTTTGTAAAAGTTATATTGATATATACGTGGCAGAGCCCTTCTGCAGCTATGGGTCGACTCGACCGAGCAGGACTACGTTCTCACATAATAACGAGTTGAATGTAAATTCAAGAAAAACAACTTCCTTCTGCGTGAATCCCATATCTCTGGTGCCCTTTGACCTACAGGACCCAAATTCAAACTCGACCGAGCTACTACCTCAAGGTATCCACATACCAAATTTAAAGTCAATCGGTCCAGTGGAACGGAAGTTATCGTGTCGGCATACAGACTAACAGACTGCCAGCTAAAACCATTAACTTCCTTTCAATGCTACGCAGAAGGAAGTTAACAACGTTAAAAGAAGCATAATGCTGCCGTGTTTTGTATGGTGAGTGTTGCGAACCGAAGACCCTTTTTACTTGAAACTAGATATTCCATTTTAGGCCTCAGGGGTGACAAGGCATCTGCATTTTGGTTCTTAATAGAGGATAGATGTAGATGTCTATGGGCTACATCATACAATTACAATTAGGTTGACTATTAGCTCGTTTGTTACGCTTATATATACATATAAATAAAATTATAAAATTGAAGTGTCTGTAATATTGAAATAACTGACTTCTGTTAAGCTTAGGGGATTATTTAAAATTTTGTCGGTCCGTCTGTCCGTGCTAAACTTCGAAATGGCTAAACTAAACTAACTGTGATGAAACTTTTTGTATTTTTTTTTTCAAAAAAGAATCTTCAATATTTTTTTGGATAAACTATAGCCCAGATCACTCCTGGCATTGTTATCTATGTGTTCGTGAAGTTTCATTACATTTGGCTTAGCCATTCCGAAGACTAGCCCCGACGGACAGACAGACAGACAGACAGACAAATATTTTAATAACAGTTATTCATATCTTAATGCCAAATAATCATATCTAAGTGTCAAATAACCCACTCAGCTCCAATAACAGTCAGTTATTTCAATATGACAGACAAATATTGTCTCTAATTTTAGAATTCAGTAAAAGTTATTTGCGAACCATCACATAGCTTATATCGTCACTGTTTCATAAAAATTATCACGCAAATAAAAATCATATTTAATAATTTATTTTACTAATCTACATAATATCAAGATTAGAACGACCTCTCTCTGTTATGAAATATGTAACGATTGCCGTCTTATCAATTTTCAAATATATTGACGCGTTGATCGAGCCCTACCTATGAATTACAAATGCTGTCAGACCATTATGTGTATAATTATAGAATTTGTTTTATGTGAAAATTAAGACAGCATAATTTTTAACAAAGTTATTATCGCATAACTACAACATTCATGTCCCAGAAATTATGCAGACCTTGTCTATCAAAAATAATATACAATATTTTATTATATACAATATTAAAAATATAATAATAAAAAAAACTAACTAGAAACTTAATTATCATATAGTCCTACTCCCCACGGTATTGTGCCAAGAACGTTGGCTGCGTTTCCCCGCTGAATGGCTATAAGTTAGCCTTTGAGCGAGAAAAGAACTAGCCCTCTTATCACCAGCAGCAACGACCAGCCGCGGATGGATTTCCTTTAGGAACTTCACCGCAAGTGGACCCCATGGACCGATAGTCTCTACAGCAAACGGGACAAATATGTAGTCATCTCTCAGAGACTCGTATTTATTTATTTACTCTATCAAAAGGTTTAAAATATTTTATTAAGCAAAAATCGTTTAGTAAGGGTTATTATACTACTAAAGAGTTTGTACACGATTCATAATAACCCCTGGAAATGAGTTGATCGCTAGCATGCTGTTTCCAAATGTTTTATAACAATTATTGTATAAATAGTATATGGTAAGTTATGCTTTCAAAAAGGTCCCGCTGGGTTACTTGCTGGGTCCAGGACAGAGATTTTTTTTCCGAAATACATTATATAAGTACTCATGACTTCTTCTTCATCAGCCTGTAACAGTCCACTGCTGAACACTGGGCCTCGTCAGTGTAGGAAGGATTTGCCAAAGTCGCCACGCTTAGCAATTCGATTGGCAGTGGCAGTAATAGATATCTTAAAATTTAAAGCTGCTCTCCTTCGCCGGTTTGGACATTTTATAATTGGATGGTTTACCGGCAACTAACGAAATCCATACTCTTTCTGGTCTTATCTATAGTCACCTGATTTGAAAACTACAGCACAAAATGGGGTAGATTATCTTATACCGCCACCAAACAGCGTAGCATAGCGAGAATTTTATTTTTTTAGAAATTTTATATTTTATCCATAAATATTATTTTCTTAGTTGAGAAATGTTCATACTCATTTGTGGCATAAGTATTAATCTAATATTATTTATGAAATTGTAACCAATTAGGTGTTATAATTTTTTGCGTTTACAAGCCACGGCGGCGCGTTAGGTGCGAAATAACTATTTTTTGTGCTCATAATAGTTAATAGATTCTTTGCATGGTAAATTACAACATACTTATACATATATTCGTCACACCATGTATTCATCACATATCACTGTTGAAAACCAATTATAACGTGAGATATAAGCATTGCTTTTTAAATACCTATATTTAAAAAAAAAACAGTCGATTTTTAAACGGTTGAATGAGTTGAATTTGATCCGGGCTGAGGATTCGAATCTCACTCGGAACAAGTATTTGTATGGCCTACAAATATTGTTTGTCCTTGTGCAATTTATGTATGTAAAGTGCCTCTACGATACAGGAGAAAATCCTAGTAAGGTCCTAGTAAGGAGGAAAAAAAATTGTTAATCTCATCTTTTTTGAAAGTAGAAATTAACAAAGGCAATGAAATAATCGTTCTGAGGGCTCTAGCGGTTGAAGTAAAACAATTAAAAAAATTATGATTTATGAAATGGAACGTTTAGAATGTTTTAGTGATTACAAAATAAAAAATAATTTTACAAACTAAGTGTACTTACTCATGATACAAGATATTACTGGTTTCAGTAACATGGTAGAAGTGCTGCTTTATTATAGTGTTGTAATCACTTATTCGTTCGGCAAGTAAATGTTCATGAGCTGCCAAGTGGCAGTTCACAAGACAGACCGAGCACCCATAAATATTAAATCTTACACTAACTGCGCCTTTGTTGCCCTGAAACAAACTTCTTTTATAAATATATAATATAAATTTATCTACGTGGTAGAGCCATGCTGCAACTATATTAGTAGTATAGTTGTAGCACGAATGGGTCGGCTCAACCGGGGAAGGACCACGCTCTCACAGAATACCAGCGTAAAATAGCAGCTTAACGCTGCTGTTTCGTATGGTGAGTGTAGAGAACCGGAGAACCTTTTTTACTCAAAATGAGGCATTCCATCTTAGTCCTCACGGGTGACAACGCATTTGCATTTTGATTTGTAATAGAGGACAGATGTAAATGTCTATGGGCCGCAGCAACCACTTACCATCAGGTGGACTGTGTGCTCGTTTGTCACCCTTATATAAACAAAAATTACGTAATGCGTTTGTAATTTTGAATTGTTTGATGTATAGAGAATATCCACGCTGTGCAAACGGATTGGTAGTCACAGTACCAGATGATTCACACCTCTAACACTCTCTGATCTGATCGATCGATCTCGACTGATCGCCGGTTTGCAAATATTGCATTATAAATTTGTAAATGAATCCTCGTGTCAATTTGAGAAATAAGTAAGTATATTACATTTGAAATAAATACAAAACTACTCAAGCCATCAGGAGCTTTAATTGCATTTTATGACACTGACTAGACGAAATAACTAGAGACCTACTGAAGATTCGGTTTCGGCTAGTTTCGGCAAAAAAATCTAGGTTCGGTAATAGTTTCGGTTTTGGCCAAAAATCGACCGAACCTTGGCGGCGAGGAAAGTTGGTGTTCGTGTATTAACGTGCGTCGTTCAGATGAGTTCGGGACTTGTGTATTACTCGCTCGTAAAAAGTATCGTAATCTTTGTTGAGACTGATAATAATTATATTAGGTTAATACTTAACTGAAGATCTCATTAAATAACTTAGCAATATTGTGAACACAATAAAATATGTTCTCAATTAGCGAGTAACTTTATATGTGTAAGTGTTGATTTTTTACAAAAAGTACTTAAAAAGTATTTTTAAGGCTGAATGTTCCTTTTTTTGTCTGTTGTAAAATTGGTTTTTGATAGCCAAATTATTACATTTAGAATTTGAAAAAAAAATCTTTTAGATACATTATTTCTCCTTACGATGTACCCGGTCAATACACGATACAATACAATTTTCTGGATAGAAAAAATTACCGAACTACATTTGATTTGCAGTTTTTTTTTACAAACTAAATTTCATTTTAAACAAGTGCTAATACTCCTTTTTTTCTTGCAGTTGAAATCAATTCCAACCTGAATGTTTTTTCTTTTCATTACATTTATTAAAAAAAATTATCCATTACTCGAGTGATTTTCGATCCGCACGTCGCTTGCCAGTGTCCCGCGGGACATTGACGAGGTATACCTACTATAGGTTGCTGTCATAGATTAATGATAAGTCATCGCGCGCTCTGACTAGATACCGCCCTCCCTGCAAGTAACAGCTCCATGAATGCGGCATCTTAATATTGTAGTGTGTATAAGACAATTGGCATGATGCTAGTGTGCGTGAAAAATTGTATATGCCAGCAGCTTAACTATTACCCGATTAACGGGAAAATTTATTTTATGCTATGGCTTAGTAGTTCAGTTCATAGTTATGAATGTATTCCAGAAATACTTAAAAATGAATAGCTTATTAATAACGAATGTATCAATATATTAGTGTATATTATGTATAGATTTTTCTTCTGAATAAATGACATATAAAAATGATAAGGCCTCCTTTTTATCAGTTTAATTTTTTTATTTACATGTCTAACTATTCACAAATTATTTAAAAAATAGTTATATATATGGAGTAATCAAAATAGTGCTTTCTATTCTACGCGTCAACATGAACAACTTTTACTATAGATCTATCTTCCAAATCGCAAGTAAAATCAAGTCTTCCATACATTTTGAGCAAGTTTGTATGAAATTTTGTATGGAATAACTGACTTTGAGATATTTTTGTCATATTAAAATCTTTTTAATTAAAAATCGAATACCATTTATTTATTTAAAAAAAGATTCTCGGTCTTGTCACAAGGTTTTGTCAAACTTGTTTAGTCGTTGATTTCTATACTTTCCCTAAAATAAAGAATAAATTGCGTGGACAGAGATTTTCATCACCTGAAGAAGCTGTGGACGCCTACAAAACGGCCATTTTGGAGACCCCAACTTCCGAATGGAATGGTTGCTTCAATGATTGAATCCATCGTATGGAAAAATGTGTCAAATTTCGCGGAGAATACTTCGAAAAGCAATAAATACATTTTTAAATAGTAATGTTGTGTCACTTCCTTGATTCCCGAAATTTTCAGTGCCGCCCTCGTATTGTTCAATATCATTTAGATTGCAGTAGAATGAAAATAAAATAAAAATATAATTATAAATAATCAAACAACAACCTTTTGGTCTCAAAACTAAAATACAAGACAAATATTTTTTAAACTTGTGTAAACAAAAAAAAAGTGAAAAAAATTATTGCCATGAATTTACAGTTAGAGTTTAAAAACAATCATTTCACCAAAATTTTTCTTCGTCTTTTTCCCAAAATACGGTTTCGGTTATTCCTGACAATATTTCCCGCTTTCAAAAATAATCTTTCGGCTGGTGCGGAACTGGTCATCACAGAGAGGTGTTTAGGAGCCATATCGGTTAGTTTAGGGAAAGTTTCTTCAGAGCTTCTCCATATATTGAGGGCATCTGCCTTGAGATTTGAAAGTGGTGCCGCAATATATAGAATCAATTCAGTATTTTTGTCTACTGACGTGTTGGCCGCTATCATTTTTTCATTATAAAATACTTCCGTTAGTCACTTTTAGGCGTTTTACAAGACATTTTTATTGTTTATATATAATTGTTTACACTAACCAATGAAAGAAAGAAAACCACCGAATACTTTTACTCCTAGCGGAGGAAGAAAACTGTTAAAAACATACGAAAGGCGAAACTGTTTTACATACATAGAGATACATAAAGGTGGCGCCGTCTTTTGATCGACTTGTTCATGCTAGTGAACTTGCTTCGCGTTTTTTCATCTGTCGCACATATGACGCTGTTCTTTTGATTGACTTATTCATGTTATTGAACTTACTTCACGTTTTTACATCCATCGCACGATGACTCTGATTACAAAAATCGATTAAAACGCGTAATTTACATAATCGATTTTTATTATAAAAAAATCGACCTTGAAAAATCGATTATAAGAAAAAAATAATCGATTAATATGAAAATCGATTATTTTTCACATCCCTAGCGAGCGGGCGGCGCATGCGACGTGCGCCCTCCCACCCCGCTGCACCGAAATCAAATTCTTTCTTTTCTTTTTGCTTTTTTATTTTCTAGTTTCTAGTGCTAGCCGAATCCGTGTCCTTGACACACTTCTTCACAGTAGTGCGCATAAATACGTCGACTAATATTGTTGTGAAGTTTTCCGCGAAAAAGACGCTGTTTTATTTATTAATTTGTGTGTAAATCTAATGATTATGGTACTGCGATAAAGACGCTAAGACATCTCTTACTATATGGACGCTTTTATTCGTGTTATTAGTGCTTGTGTAAACTTCTGATCGTAATGGCAAATACACATCCGAACCACACAGCAGCTGAATATGTGGACATGGTCCTAATTTACAGAGAATGTCGTTAAAATGCCGCCCTTGCTATAAGGACATACGTGAGAGATAATGTTCATTCAAGACAATGCCCTACTCATCCTCGCACTATCGTAGGAGCTCTTCAGCGTATCCGCGAAAACCGGCTAGTGGATTCTAGGTCTCAACGCCCTGATCGACCCTACACGCAAAATCCAATCCAGTTAACTGAAAATGTGATACAATATTTCGAAGATCAACCCAAAACTGGCCTCCGCCAGAGCGCTAGGCATTTTCAAGTCCATCATAGAACCGCCCATAGGATATTAAAGCGCGCAAAGTCGCACCCATTCACTTTTCTCACTGTTACAAATACAATATGTAACAGTGGACAAAAAGTTGCTTCACCATTACGATCCCAAAACAAAATGACTTGGAAAAGTCTATCAACTCCTATTCTTTCCATTGGGGATAGTAGATATTGAATACTTTGATAATGGAACTACTGATACAGGCACTTTGTACGCAGAATAAATAAAAAAATGTGCAAGTACATCCGCAAGAAACAACAAAGCAAACTCACAAAAATTGATTTGTTTCACCAAGTTTTCGAATGCTGCACTGCAATTCTAGATACGGATGAAATACTTGAGCATATTCACGAGACATTGCTTTAGTCATTTCTATTTCTGAGTGTCTGAGTGAACAGAGATTTCTAGATGATGAAGTAGTTGTTGCAGTACAGGAATTTTTGTGTGCTCAGGAGGAAGAGGAGTTTTACTGCATGATAGAATTCGTAATGAAGATATCCGCATTAAAACCATAATAATCAACGTAGCCCAATGGATCAGTAAGTTGAAGTCGCAGTGGGTCAACCATAAAGCTTGAAGAACCTACAACCCATGAAGAAGAAAGGTTCTTAAGTAACAGCCTAATACTGGCAAGCGAAGTGTAGGGCGACTCTTACTAAATGGAGTGATGACCTGATAAGACAGACGGGAAATTGATGGATGCAGGTGGCTCAGGACCATGTATAGTGGCATTTTTCAGAGGTCATTATTCAGCAGTGGACTTGTGAACAGCTGTAAAAAAGAAATTTCAAGTGTATAAAAATAAAGTATTTTTTTTAGAAAAGTTGCATGTAACATACTCATTCTAACTTTTCATTGAATGCTCATAGTACAAACTAATATTTTTGTTATGTTAGAATACAAAAATATATTTCATTGATTTTTATTCAATATAGGAAATTTTAAATTATTTCTTTTTTTGTATCTTTTTTTTTGTATTTTGTATTTTTATAGTCTACTTCTTGTTATTTTTACCTAGCCATGGTTACCTATAATTAAGATAAAGCTTATTTGCATGTTTCATTCTATAAATAAGTGGTTTTTTTTTAATTTGTAAAGTTTGTGTGTTGTTAGTGCCTAAATAAATAAATAATTTGATAAGTAATACGAAAGAATAATGTTTTATTATTTCATGGACACTCACCCACAATCCACCCAAGCCAGTTTTAGTGTACTGGGCTTCGATATCTCTTAAATGTGTAACATGTTTCATCTGAGTGTAAACCAATAGTATGATTCCTTGGAGCCTTATGTTTTTTGCAATAATGTAGCCTTGTCTACAAAGTATCTTATTAAAAGTCGAGGTCCATGGGTCACTAAACAAACTATCCATTACCATGTTCTGAGGTTGGGATTTGACCTCTTGTAATCTGCATACAAAAATATATAATAAAATTATTTAATAAATTTATAATTAAGCTTTAAAAACTTGTAAAAAAAAGGTACAAAGAGTACAATCTGCTAATTTGACAAAGTATGGTCCTAAGCCACGTGCATCTCTTGCCAGGTTTTCAATCCATCTGGTGTGAGGCTGCCCTATAATTCTCTCTTACTGTATGGGGCTGCAACTCTAGCACCTTTGTTCCCCATCGGTTGTAGGTTCTTCAAATTATATGGCCTGCCCATTGCTACTTCAGCTTTCTTATTCAGTAGGTCATGTCAATTTCTCTGGTTCTACTGTAGATATTATCATTTCGAAGTCTATCACATAGAGATACTTCAAGCATAGCTCGCTGAGCGTCTTTGAGCTTTTTCAGACATATAGTGGTGAAAGAACATGTCTAAGATCCATATGTCATCACTGGCAACTCACACTATTTGTAACATTTTGTTTTCAAGTTTTACCGACAGTTAAATTTGCACCACTGAAGAGACTATAGCACTGCCTAAATTTTGATGGAATCAAAGGCTTTCTATAATTCACATAGGCAAGACTAAATGGCAGATTGCACTCTTTGGTAATAATATATATGTAAGAATTATTCACTGTACATAATATGTTATATAAATTCTCCAAATAAACATATATTTCTTATACAGAGTACTTGAATAATTCACTTAAACAAGTGTCAGATACAGACACAACAAATATTCTTACTTTACAATACAAATTATTTATATAGCTCAATTTTTTTAATAAAACTGACTTGAATACATGTTTATATTAGTAGTATAATTTCTTTTACAAACCCAATAACATAGAAATCCGGTAGAGGCTTATTTTTATTATACTGTGATGGAAAGTCCAATAAGGAATTTAGATCTTGACCCGGAGACTTTGTGGCCACATTCCAGGTTACAAAATAAAACCTAAAATAAAGCAGACACATAAGCAATGCTTCGTTCAATTCTAAGTACGTCGGTTACTAATTGTAACTTTACAAACAATACTTGGACACTACCTATCGGTATAGTAAAAATTAATTTTTAAATATATTTACCTTAAAGTATCCATGGTATATTTTATGGCAAATATAACTTAAAATGCTTATTTAATTTATTTTCCGAACATCACCAACAAAAAGCACAAGGCACAGAAAAGATTAGATTTAAATTTGATAAAAACGTATTTAAGAGACAAAACAACGAAGCTAAACTCTTTCGTGTTCAACTGAAAGAATTAATTACTTAAATTGTTCTGGGCTCTCAGAAGAGAGATAGAGAGTAACTGTGTTCTGTGGATCTGGTGTTTTAATATAATAATCTAGACTAAAATACTATAAAACTTTTACACTCTGTTCTACACAAATATTTAATTTGACTTTGACATTGACAGTTTTGCTTTTAATCATAGACATAATTTTTTGACCTCATCAATTTTTTTACTTTTGACTCATAGATATAGTTTTGACTCTTAGATAGACGTTGTCTATGTTTTGACTGAAGAGCATAGACTTAGTATCTTAATGATGTCAATCCTCTATCTACGCTAAGGCTGGCTTTTCACTATGCGATATAATATATATCATATCCCGAAATATGAATTATATCCCACGAGTGGCTTTCACATTGTGAGATATATCTTTTAACCAACGTGCGTTTGTCATTGGATTACCCCCTGAACCCCGCAGAAGTTTCTGAGGCGGTGAGGAACGGTGTGCGGGGTACAGGGGGCGAAATATAATATGAAAATATCGCTCGGTCGATCGAAAAAATATTTATAGTTTGAGATGTAATATATATTACAGCTCAGTATAAACGGTTCTATTTAAAATTATGGTGAGCGGTATTGATTTATATCTCGGGATGTAATATATAGTATAGTATATCCCATAGACTTAGAATATACTGGCGTATAGAGGTACATAGTGTGCAAGGGAGAAAAAAATCCTTATGGCAAAAATGCAAGATAGAAAAGGATACAAAATCTCATGACTGTGTAACCGATTTTGAATGACAGATCGGCACAAGTCGGCACGCAAGAAATAAGCTTGTAGATATTTTGTGTGTTTTTAGATTATAATGGTGTTAATTTATATAATTTATAGTTTTCCAAAATGGTTACATGTTCCGTTAGTGACTGTGGTATCAACAATAGAAATAATCCTGATGGTTGAACATTTCACAGGTAAATTCGCAAGATATCGTGAATAATAAGACACGTCTATTTTTGATTAAAATTTATGTTATATACGGTTTTTTTTCATTCGTTCATTCAAAAAATAGCCTTTTATTTCCAAAATCTAAAAATTGCAATAAAATTTTCTTTTTATAGTTAACTTTATTCAATTCGTACCATACAATATTACAAACTATAGTAATAATTAAAAAAAAACTAAAACTAGAAACTTAATTATCATATAGTCCTACTCCCCGCGGTATCGTGCCAAGAACGCTGGCCGCGTTTCCCCGCTGAATGGCTATACTTAGCTTTTGAGCGAGAAAAGAACCAGCCCTCTTATCACCAGCAGCAATGACCAGCCGCGGATGAAGTTCCTTTAAGAACTTCACCGCACGTGGACCCCACGGACCGATAGTCTCTACAGCAAATGGCACAAATATGTAGTCATCTCTCAGAGACTCATATTTGCGCTACTTACTCAGTTCAGCTGCCTCTGATGCCGCCCCGGCTCTATATATACAGGGTATTTTTGGAACGCTCCCGAAAACTAAGACAGACGACAGTACGAAGTACACCTTTGATGATGGGTGGAATATAAAATCGATCCTGATGAATGAAAAATCTTTTTTTCACAACGTTTTATTAGCTTTATTCATTCTTATCATGTTAGTACAGCTAAATGAAACGATAATTTCATAAAAAAAATCATGAAAATACTGAAACATAAAACCAGCAGTGGAATTACTGAATTCATATCACCTGATTAAAGGTCAATGTACGCGCGAACGCTGAAAAAAGATCGCTGGCCTTGAACCTGGGCACTGAGCGAAAGCGATTTATGAGTGAGTGGTAAGAACGACGGGGGAACAATTCGCCAGTATTACTGTGGCCGCACGCTATTGGTACCCGCGCTTTGTTCGCTCCCAAAATACAGTCGCGAGTCGCAAAATACTTTGCGGCTCGCGACGATGGTTTTAAAAAGGAAGGAAAGAAAAATTATTTATATCTATTGTTTTATGACTGAACTAGTGAACCAAAAGGTAAATATGATAGAAGAAGGTGAATAGGGAAAATTATGCAGTAAAGTTAAAAGTGTTGAGGAAGAATACCGAAAAAATTACCATGTGATCGACCTGATGACGGAAGCTCAAGCGAAGATGAAAGTGATGATGAAGTAGCATCCAGTAACACCAACACACCATCAACATCTGGCTTCCATGTGACCCCAAGACGACATAATGGACGGCGTGTCACCCTTAGCTTAAGTTTTCTTGTTACAAACTACTTTATATTTTACGATAGAAATAACAAATAATGCTCAAGTTAACACTATCCATTTTTAATTCCAACCTCTTCCAAAGTTCTAAGTAGCTAGTAAAACATCTATTATGATTCTACAATAAAACAATTAATTACTATAATATTGTTGCGCGCCACTATTAATGTCTTGTACATGGCAACACTAGTTACACTAGCGTCCTCTAGTGTCGAGTAAAAGAAAGTGTTGCGCGCCACTATTAATGTCTTGAACATGGCAACACTAGTTACACTAGCGCCCTCTAGTGTCGAGTAGCAGAACTAGGAGAGTCGAGATCCTTCCAGAAATTTCGGGACCGATATATACTCGAACATTCTAGATGTCGCTACAGTAGAAGGTTCTGGAAACTATCTGAGGCCCTATATAAGGCCGGTATAGACCACGACTGGGGCAGTATTGAATTGGCGATACAAGAGAATACTTCGATGCGAAATAACGGCGAACTGTGTTTTATTATTAGTGTGATTTTAGATTGTAATTAGTGTTGTGTAATTAAAGTGTCAATTTTGGTAATTCAATCGGCAGTTTTTAATTGTCTCGAACCCCAAGCTCGTAACAATTGGTGTCAGAAGTGGGATTAAATCATGCCGATTTTACCAAAGGACGACATGGAGGGTATCCGTACTCGAAGTCAACATCAGCTAGAGACGGACCAGAGACGATTTGGTAATACAACGCCGCAAACATCGGAGGACCAGCTGCTGACCACGGAGGCCGGTCGGTCATCAGCTCCTGCATCTACAATATCTGACTTAGGCACTCTGATGATGATGCTGCAGGAACAGGCTCGCCGACAGGAGGAACAGGCCCGTCGGTTGGAAGAGCAGCTGCAGCGCGGACAGGAGGAACAGGCCCGCCAACAAGAGGAACAGGCCGGCCAACAGGAGGAACAGGCCCGTCGGTTGGAAGAACAGCTGCAGCGCAGACAGGAGGAACAGGCCCGCCAACAGGAGGAACAGGGCCGTCGGTTGGAAGAGCAGCTTCTTCTCATAAAGGACCTTCACGCTACCTTCGGGAAAGAGATAAAGGAGGTGAAGGATAGGGTTGCTCATCATGACAACCTCCTGTCGGAAGCTGAAACCCGAATCGACCAAGTGAAAAATCGGGTTGACAACGTGATGGTTGACGTGAAGAAAACGCTGAACGACCTCAAAATTGGGGATGGAGTTACAGCTCCCGTGGTAGCTACAACACCTTCGCTACGTGGATTCAAAGTGCCACCGTTCGACGGAAGTTCTTCCTGGTCGGCCTACAAAATCACAGTTCGAGGCTGTCATGAAAGCGAACGGCTGGAATAAAAGTCAGGCCATGACTGCTCTCACCCTAGGCCTACGCGACCAGGCCTTAACTGTTCTGGAAGCTCTCGGTAAGGAAGTGACTTACGAGCAGCTCCTTGAGGCATTGGAGGCGAAATATGGCGATACTCACCTGGAACACGTCTTTCGTGCGCAGCTCAAAGATCGCGTGCAACGCAGTAACGAAAAACTGCAGCAGTGGGCCCTTGAGGTGGAGAAGCTGGTTCGAAAAGCGTACCAGTCTGTACCTGCGCTCATTGTAGGGAACCTGGTGCAGACATTCATCGACGGCATCCGCGATCTTGAAGTCAGAGCTGCTGTGAGGCTCGGGCACGACGAGACGCTTAAGGACGCCTTGACCCATGCACTGGAGGTGGAAGCCGTGCGACAGGATCATCGTTCCCACCGCGTCAGGGAGGTTGCAGCAGCTACAGTTCAGGACCGCAATAAGGGCTACAGCCCTAGGTGCTACGGCTGTGGGGAAAGGGGCCATCTTCGATCTAGCTGCCCTAAACGAACTGTAGAAAGGGAAGGTGATCGATCTCGAGAGGGCAGTGTGGCTGACAGCACCGCCTAGCAGCAGCAGGGAAACTGGCGGGTGCTGGCTGATGTTAAAAGAGCCCCAAGGATTTCGATCTCACAAACCCGTGATGGAAACAGCCTGATCATCAAGGTCGACGTCAACGGAAAGCCGTGTAAACGCAATAATTTGGTGACAGCCACCGGTCAGCGCATACCCGTCCGAGGAGAGAAGGAGATGGAGTTGAAGCTAGGCAACATGATCTACCTGCATAATGTCATCGTGGCTGATATAATGGACGACTGCATCCTGGGCCTAGACTTTATGAGGAAGAATTGTTGTGAGATCGACGTTAAGCAAGGTGTTTTGAAATGTGGACAAGAGGAACTTTTCGTGGAAGGGGCGTTACCAGGGAATGTGTACAGCCTTAAGAAGATTGTTCGTCCGCCGAGATCGGAAACGATTGTGCCAGTTAATCTTCCTCGGAGTCCTGGGCAAGCTCATCGTTGTGTACTCATGGAAAGGGTAGACAATGACCTGCCATGGAAAGTGGCTCGAACCTTGGTCAGAACCACCGACATCTCAGGAGTACGTGTGTTGAACCTTTGTGATCAGGAACAGATTATAGAAAAAGGCACATTGGTTGGTACTAGTGAGTAAGTGGATTGGTTGCGTCGGTGCGAATATCTATCGACTGGGACCCCCAGCACGGATGAACAAACGAGAGTGACCACACTTTTAGAAGACTGTCGTAGCGTTCTCTCCCCGAATGAAATGGTAAAGGCGAAGAAGTTCTTACTCAAGTACGCCAATGTTTTCTCGTCAAACGAAGCTGACATAGGAAAGACTGGCTTAGTTCAACACAAAATAAACACAGGACAAGAATTGCCTATTCGTCAGCGGCCAAGAAGATTGCCTGTAGCACGTGAAAAGGAAGTGGAAACCATGATTGAGGGAATGGTGAAGGATGGTGTTATTAAACGTTCATCTAGTCCATGGTGTTCACCTGTGGTGCTGGTAAAGAAGAAGGACGGCAGCATGCGGTTTTGTGTTGACTACCGCCGCCTGAACGACGTTACGAAGAAGGCTGTCCTTCTATCCCTTGCAAAGAATTTATGACACGCTGGACATGCTTACAGGCGTAAAGTGGTTTAGTACGCTGGACCTGAAAAGTGGCTACTGACAGGTTTAAATTGACCCTAAGGACAAGGAGAAAACTGCACATTCTCCACAGGAAAGGGTCTGTGGCAATTTAAAGACATGCCGTTTGGATTGTGCAATGCTCCAGCAACGTTTGAAAGGTTGATGGAGCTTGTACTTACCGGGCTAATTGGAGATGCCTGTCTGGTCTATTTGGATGACATCATCATCGTAGGCCGTACGTTTGAGGAACACCTTCAAAACCTGGAACGCGTGCTCGTGAAGATCCAGAGTGCCAACCTCAAGTTGAGTCCGAAGAAGTGCTCACTATTCAAACGGCAAGTTAGTTTTTTGGGGTATGTAGTGTCGGAAGAAGGTATCCGCACGGATCCAGAGAAAATTGCCGCTGTCAAGGAGTGGCCGGTTCCAAAAGACAAGACACAGGTTAGAGCATTTTTGGGTTTGTGCTCTTATTATCGGCGATTTGTGAAGAACTTTGCAGATATAGCCAAACCTCTGCACAAGGTAACCGAGGAGAAGCGACATTTCTGCTGGGATAAAAGTTGCAATATTGCATTCCAGGAGCTCAAGAACCGTCTGTGCAAAACACCTATTTTGGGGTACCCTGATGCGGGCAAGGAATTCATAGTTGACACAGACGCAAGTGATATAGGACTTGGCGGAGTGTTGTCTCAACGGAATGGTGATCAAGAGATTGTGATAGCGTACTTCAGCAAGTCGTTGTCAAAGCCGGAAAGAAACTATTGTGTCACAAGACGGGAATTGCTTGCTGTGGTAAAGTCCTTGCAGCATTTTAGCAAATATCTCCTGGGGCAGAAAAACTACTTACGAAGTGACCATGCTGCACTGAAATGGCTATTGCAGTTCAAAAATCCGGAAGGACAAGTTGCGAGATGGATTGAACTACTACAGGAATACGACTTTGTGATCGAACATCGCAGCGGGAAATCTCATGGCAATGCAGATGCATTATCAAGAAGACCTTGCCCTTAAGATTGCAAGCATTGTACTAGGCAAGAGGGTAAAGAAGTGGTATCTGCGAGGATATTCAGGACAGACCAGCTCAGCAATGAATGGAAGGACAGCTTACAACATGCACAGCAGGAAGATTCGGACATTAAGCCGATTCTGGAATGGATGAAGGCCAGTGATCCTAAGCCCAAGTGGAGCGACGTCTCAGCAATGAGTTCGACCACGAAAAGCTATTGGGCCCAATGGGACAGCTTGCTGATTCAGGATGGAGTCCTGTGCCGTAAATGGGAAAATGGTCGGGGAGACAGGTGTCATTTGCAAATGGTTGTCCCTAAGGCTAAAGTGCCGGATGTTCTACAGCTGTACCATAGTGGTTGTTCAGGAGGCCACCTGGGAGATAAACGAACTCTCCTGAAGATCCGAGAACGGTTTTACTGGGTCCACTGTCGTGACGATGTCGAGGACTGGTGCCGCAAATGTACAAGTTGTGCGTCTGTAAAGGGACCTCAAATTCGTAGTAGAGGCGCATTGAAATTGTACAATGTTGGTGCACCATGGGAGAGGATAGCCATTGACGTTGCGGGGCAGTTTCCAGAAACTGAAAGTGGTAACAAGTATTTCGTGATTGTGATGGATTACTTCACTAAGTGGCCAGAAGTCTTCGCCATTCCAAATCAAGAAGCTTCAATAGTTGCAGATAAACTAGTTCATGAAGTCTTCTGTCGTTTTGGAGTACCTTTAGATATTCACAGCGATCAAGGAAGGAATTTTGAGTCTCAAATATTCCAGGAAACTTGCCGAGTTATGGGTACTCAGAAAACACGAACAACTTCTAACCACCCACAATCTGATGGAATGGTAGAAAGATTTAATCAAACATTGGAGAGGTACGTAGCAAAAGTTGTGGAAAAACGGCAACGAGACTGGGACAGGCACATACAACCGTTTTTGTTGTCATATCGAAGCGCTGTTCACAAAAGTACATAAGTGACACCAGCTTTCGCAAACTTTGGGAGAGAATTGCGGCTGCCTAAAGACCTGATCACCGGAACACCACCTGATGCCCCACGCAGTATAACCGATTATGCAAATGACTTGCGGAACAAAATGAATGACATTAATTAGCACGTCAGACAGACGGGCCAGCAAACGTCTGAGAAGATGAAAACACGGTGTGACCGCAAAATGAACCACAAGGGGTTTGATGAAGGTTCACTAGTGTGGTTACACAATCCAGTTCGCAGCAAAGGGAAATCTACTAAGCTTCAAGCTAAATGGGACGGACCGTACCGGATTGTGACAAGGATCAATGACGTAACCTACCGTATACAGAAAGGTGCCAGAGGTACTCCTAAGATTGTCCATGTGAATCGACTGGCGCGTTATTATGGGGCCAATAATGCTCGGGACGAGCATATCTTAGGAGGGGGCAGTGTTGCGCGCCACTATTAATGTCTTGTACATGGCAACACTAGTTACACTAGCGCCCTCTAGTGTCGAGTAGCAAAACTAGGAGAGTCGAGATCCTTCCAGAAATTTCGGGACCGATATGTACTCGAACATTCTAGATGTCGCTACAGTAGAAGGTTCTGAAAACTATCTGAGGCCCTATATAAGGCCGGTATAGACCACGACCGGGGGAGTATTGAATTGGCGATACAAGAGAATACTTCGAAGCGAAATAACGGCGAACTGTGTTTTATTATTAGTGTGATTTTAGATTGTAATTAGTGTTGTGTAATTAAAGTGTCAATTTTGGTAATTCAATGCAGTTTTTAATTGTCCGAACCCCAAGCTCGTAACAATATTATAAAACAATAGCCCAATACCATGTAGTACTTTAGAACGCGACTGTACCCACACTCCTTCCACTGTCGACCTGTATCGGTGCGAAACAATGCTGCCGTCATAAAGAAAAGGGCGCATCTAACAATTTTTGAATAAATGTGTTAAATATACCATTCGACTCATGATAAGAAGGCGCATCTACAATTTTTTTTTTAATATTCAAAAATATCAATATTTTAGAAAATATCGTAAGAATTTTAGACGTAACTGTTCATCACAGATGACATTTTTTTAGTAGAAAAGATTTATACAAATTTAACATAAAAGAAAAGACTTATTTAACCAGTTGCTACGTCATCTTTAACAATATTTGCATCGATTACTTAAATTTCGATTATTCTTGTCTTATTATTCTATATCTTATTATTAAGAGCTTATATCTTATTATTAAGAGCTGGTGTTTCACATGTGGTCCCATATAAATTTGATCAAGGTCAGACCAATAGTTTTTGAGTTATTTATATTGAAGTTGGTTGTACAAAATTTTTAATTTTTAATTATTATCGTAGTAAGTCTTGTATGATATCCCCTTTAAAATCATTAGTCAAGAGTTGCGGGTTGTTATTTTTTGTGCCTCACTACCAATGCTTTTCTAATATTTACTAATAAAAAAGTAGTAAATACTATTAGCGTCCTTTCAACTTCAAATGACCTTTCCAAAATATGTAAAAATGTTAAATGAATGGCAGTTGTTTTATTTATTAGGTGGCAAATGGTTGTATGCGTCTTTCATTTGATGTTTTTGTGTTGCAAGGTGTATTTTTTAAGCTAAGGTAAAAAGGAAAATTCGTTTTATTTAAATAAATAAACAAATTATCAAAAAACTAAGTTCGTCTTTTAAATCTTCATGTCTCTACGTATATTTCAATTTTCATATTGATACCTTTTAATATACTTTAGACACAGCAGGGTCTGAAAGAAAAATTAATCTATTTATTTTTTATTTCCATATTACGTTTTTGTTAGTTGCGTCCTTCTTTATTATGACGGCAGAACGCTTAACCCGGCCGGCTGGTGTCACCTCATGCTGCGACGCAGTAGGTTTCGTGTTGATTTTGTACACGCGTGCTCGAGCGACAGTTTAATCGTTTTGTTTATTAAATTTTTATTGTTATTACTTGTGATTACGTGTTGGTATTATTCTTGTTGTTACGTTTTTTGATTCTTTTTTGTTTTAGTAATGCCTAACGCGTACTTTTATAGTGCTCGTAAATACGGCAACATGTTAGGTATCCGAACCTAGGTACACGAAGTATCGCTAAATAAATTGTTAAGACGTCGGGATGGAACAAGTGTGTCATACTGTGCAGTGCACAAAGTGTTGTAGCGTAACCGAATGCGCCCATACAAATTGCACAAAGTGCAAGCTTTAGTTCGCCAAATCCAGCGATCATCACCGAATTATTTCATGGTCGCTGGATTTGGCGGACTAGGACCACACGCTTGGCCACCACGCTCACCAGATCTGACCCCGTTAGACTTCTTTCTGTAGGGTATGTGAAAGAAAGGGATTTTAATCGTGAGTGTGATAGTGCTGACGAAACTACAAAAGGATCGTGGATGTTTTCGACAAACTACGTACGGACTGTGTCGAAGACCACACGATGATGCCCCACCTCCATGAGGAGACGCAACACCGAGCCCAAATCTGCCTTGAAAAGAATGGAGGATAATTTGAGCCGCATCTCATAAGACCACGGAGGATTTAGAGCGGTAAGCTGTTTCATAACTATTTTTTTTTAATTACTTAGTACTGAAATAATCTGAAGAGGTACATAACTGAATAAATGAGAATAATAAACATAATAAACATATGGATAATAATAACCCCTGGAAATGAGGTGATCGCTACCAAGCTATTTCTAATTTGTTGTGTTGTTGATTTGTGTAACATCATGATTGTAAGCTGTTATTTAAAAAAAAGTCCCGCTGGGTTTCTTGCTGGTTGTTCCCAGGACAGAGGTTTTTTCCGAACCAGTGGTAATCAAACAAAAGAGTGACTCAATAAGTATTATTTATAATCTATATTGAATAAAAAAGTTTCTGCTTCTGTTTCAATACCTACACGATGAATAAAAACGCATGACTCTAACCTTGGTTACATTTCATTTAAGTATTTTTTCATTAGCGGGAAATCGAACCAGTTATTTGTTTGGGTTATTTAACCTGTAAATTCGGATTAAAGTGGCTACGTGGAGACAAGTACAGTGGCAAAATAGTAGGTTAAGTAGATAAGTTAGGTATTTAGACAAGTGTTGTAAATTATTAGGTATTGTGGTATGGCCCGCTAGTTGCGGGCCGCGCGAATTCGCGTTCGCGCGTACATTGACCTTTAATCAGGTGATATGAATTCAGTAATTCCACTGCTGGTTTTATGTTTCAGTATTTTCTTGATTTTTTTTTATGAAATTATCGTTTCATTTAGCTGTATTAACATGATGAGAATGGATAAAACTAATAAAACGTTGTGAAAAAAAGATTTTTCATTCATCAGGATTGATTTTATATTCCACCCATCATCAAAGGTGTAGTTCGTACTGTCGTCTGTCTTAGTTTTCGGGAGCGTTCCAAAAATACCCTGTACATCTATATACTGTTTAAAATATATAATATTTTCAATTATTTTATTAATTTTGATATTTTACAAAGAAAAAATTCACATTGATGATAATTTGTATTATTTTAGTGAATTCATTTTTATCAAAATATATAATTTACATGTACGCTAGGGATTGACTCAACTATACCAAAATAAATGTTGATATTTATCTATAATGTGTAAAGAATGAAACACAACAAAAAGATGAATGAAATTAAATGCTCGATTTGCGTTCTAAAACCGAAATTTTATTTTCCAGTTTGTCAAACAGGAAAATAAAATTTCGTTTCGTCGGATTCCCTCTGGATCCTTTAGAAAAAAATGGTTGGCATTAATTGGGCAAGTTGGTTGGAATTCTAAGAAGAACTCTACAATTTGTAGTAAACATTTTATTGAGAAATATATAAGATAAAGCAGAATGAAAACAACTTTATTAAAAGGAGCCATTCCTACATTATTTGTACCAGTAAGTATATTATTGTTACAAAAAGACTTCATAAATTTAACTTCAAAATTTTTAGGTAAAAATAGAGATAGATTTATATACATTATAAAACTCTATATCTATTATTTTATATTTTCCCCAAGGGGTTGTGCGGAGCTTTGGATTATGTTCCTAAGTCACAATGATAAAACTTTTAGCGTAGTTAGGTATGGTTATTGAGTTATGCTACTGAAGCGCCACTAGATGCCATGAGGCGCGCGGTTTAGTGTACCAGGATAGTAAAAATTCCATAGTATTCGATACGCGCAACGCTTGATGTCCGATTCATGCTTGATGCTCGATGACAGTGTGCCGAGGGCTTGATAGCGTGGTTCATTACCTACTGCGTTAGTCGTAGAGAAGAGGAACTCGTAGATAAGTAACAGTTGCGTAGATCAATAGATCTGCTAGATTAAGGTGCACTTGCTGTGGTCGGTCCATGGGTGAGTGACCGTTTTCTTAACATACTGATATTGAGAGTATGAGAGTGCATCTGTATCCTCGGACACCCTTAGCACTTTAATATCTCCTGCTTACTTGGCTTGTCTCTGTAAAGATCATTGTGTTTTTTTTTTAATTCATGCAGCTAAAATGATAATAAATTTATTATTACTTTATATTTTTCAGGGACATACAAAAGAAAGAGTAGGCTCATCCTATGTCAATCGTAACATAACTTCTCCACCTTTGAAATCACAAGAAAGAAGTGATCAATTTACACCAAGACTACAACTTTTATCCAAAATCGAGAAATTAAAACAAAACCTGAAAGAAAAACAAAAGAAAATAAGTAGCATATCTACTCAACCACCCACGGTGACTACAGTCACCAAAAACAATTATTGCCTCACCTGTCCATGGTGACTATAGTCTCCAAACGACATCTTTCAGTTTAAACTTGTACAGCGCTAAAGATAGCTGTTAATAACACAGTAGAAAATAATAGATGGTGCTATATTAAATTTGTCAGAGTAAATTTTGTCTGCACAATGGCAACAAGATATTTAGAAAAAAAAAGTGAAAATTATGATTTGCCATTTATGTTTGTGAAAAATT